CGCCTCTGGCCTCCGGCGGGCTTCCCGGTGTCAGGCTGATAGTGGCTGGCAAAAGCTGCCCCTGGGGCCAGGTCTTCGCCGGGCAGTTCCGTTTTCTTTTGTTTTCCTCCAAGCGGTCTACTCCTTCGTCGCGCTTTGCGGCCAGAGTAGCAGGGGTTTGGTTCTTGTGGTGCTTCTGTGTACCACGGCGAGGCCTGGGGGGCAGAGTGGAAGTGATGAGTAATTAACGTGGTATCCAAAGGTTAGCTGCAAATGTATGTGCTGCTCTGGGTGTTAATAAGATTCCCTCTTACACAGCATGAGTGTTTGGATTAAATATTGATAGAATTTTTTAAGGCTTTTTGTTCTGTCTTTTTCCGATTTCCCCCCCCCTCTGTTTGCTCACTGATGTCTGGAATCTGAGGGAAGGCTCCGCCCTGACTCAATCTGGGTTTACTTGTCTCTTTGGTAGACCGGGCAACAAGCAATGTGCTAACCAACCTCAACAATGATTGGTTAATTTAAAAAGAAAAATAATTTTAAAATCACAATTTATCAATTATTTATTGACCATCCATGCTTCTGTTTGTAATTTACATTGTCTTATGTTTGACTTAATTGGTTTTTCATGTTCCTTTAAAGTACAATAAAGAATGTTTGGAGTTGGGTTTTGGTTTCTTACTAGCTTTATGCATACATAGTTTTCTTTAAACACTTTGTCATAGTTTTGTGAGGCATGTTTTGCAAGTTATTACTCGCTTCTGTGGTTCCACAGAAGCAATACCGCAATAGCAACTGGCAGTTAAACAAAAAAAAAAAAAAACAAAACAACACCACCCTGCTTAAATCAAATTATATATATTATGTGATATGTATGCTAATGTGTGTCAGTGACTGAATTCACGGCCGCATCTCACAGAAGCACATGTATGTGTCACTTCAGCCCATAATCTTATAGGGCCTCCCATAGTAACTGGAGGACTTGATGGAAGCCTAATACGTAGAAAGAAATAACATTAGCTTTATCATCAAAATACAATCCAATAAACCTGACTTCAGATTTTAAACATTACAGCTTCATGATACAAAGTGCTAGTTCAGTGTAAACTCACTTAGCTGTTTCAAAGCTGTTCAAGTATCTTTGATAGGATTGCTCCAAACAGAAGTGCTGCATTACCAGAAGTTCTGTGTACATTATGTGACAGCATACCTCAGAAAGCTAACTTGCAAGGATGACTTGGTCTGGGTAAACTCGTCTTGAGGAGGAATTATAAAGGTTGGAGTCTTACATTTGAGAGCTGCGAAGGAGGCAGTGAGCCATACAAAATCATCGATATAGAGCAAAGTATATTTAAAGCTTCTCTTCTAATGTGTTCACTCTTTCTGTCCCTCAAACTGTTAACCTATGAGGACAGTGCAGAGGGGAATTCAGAACTGATACACTTCATACAGTGTAAGACTCATTACAGGAAGATGTTAGTCAAAACACAATAGTCTTTCTATTGAATAACAACTCACTCTATTCTTTTAATGTTGAAACATTGACTGACATGTTTCAGAGTTTGTTGATTGATCCTTCTGGTGGTAGGATGAGATTTCCATGACAACTGAAGAAATCTATATGGCCTACTACATTCATAACTATTCAGGCATGGGCTTGTTGCAGTTGGACACTTGAGATGTATTCCAGAGCTGCCTAAATTGATATAAGCTGTACTGTTGCATTCTTCTGCTCTTATCATAGTTGTTATACCACCACTAGTGCCAACGTGACTGCACATTAAACTGGATTGGGTAATTAATCTGGCTGTGGGAGGGGGAAAAAAAGCACCAATTCAGTTTCTTGACTGGATCTTCTCATCCAGCAGTACAAGGGAAAGGGTAGGAACACGCAGCTGCCGTGCAGGGGGCGAGTGTTCCTTGAACTTAAATTGGCCGCCATGGAGCTGCACCCATATGTTTTTGGTTTTACGTATTCAGTCTGGCGGTGATAGTCCACTGCCGAAAGCCTTCCTTTATTTTCCATGCATGCTCATCTGATGTTTTCTTTAACAACTGTGTAGCCACAGGCTGTTTATTGATAGCTTAGTATTTGTTGGATCCTAAAGAGCAACTAGAAGAACACGTTTATCCTTTGCTATACTTAATGGAGCCGTCCAGGAAGTTTTTTCTTTGAGTTCCTGGTGCTTTCCCTAGCACCAATGTGGCAGACACTATTTTGCTGTTTGAAATAATCTGTTTTAAAGTGCATCTTTATATCTAGTTTTTCTTCCGCTTCTATTTACTGAGCTAGTAAATGGCTATAAGGCAAATAGGTATTTTAAAATTTTTTTTTTTTAATGCTGCTGTTATGCAATCTAATCTCAAAAAGCAGGAGGATATTTGAAAACTTTCTTCAGGAAAGAAGTTTCGTTTCTTTCCATCTCTTCACATGTCTTGTATGTAAAGGTGCTTTTCATTCCAGCTCTCAAATCCTTTTTTTTTTTTTTTTCTTTTTTTGAATCAAATGAGACGGGGGGGCATTAGTTTTTTCACATCGGTAATATTCACCTAGTGGGTGTCTGACTTGTGTAATTCTGCACAGTGAAAAATGTTGGCAGGAGAAACTGCCAATTTTGTAGTATTACATAAAATGAGAGCTTGTTTTTCAAGTAAGAGCTGTCATTTGTGACTCTCATTTTCATAGAGTAGTAGATACTGAAACCAGAGAGTTGTGAACACATGCATTAGTGCTGTTTCAATGTTAATATCAAGCAGGCTTGTTAAGGTACAGATTGAAATAAGATTTAATATCATTTATATTTTGGCAATGTTTGTGCTTGTATGTACCCTCTGAACAAGGTGGAGGAAGATTGGGTTTTGTTTTGATAACTGTAAAAATAAATTGGCCAGTATGGGAGAGGACACTTAGTCTTCCAAGGAGGAAATCAAAGTGTTGACATGGCAGTCTTTAGTTCTGACATTGCTCCTATGTAACTACATCTGAAACAAATCGGTAGTCAGGTTAGAATTGAATATGGTTACAAAAGATCGCATGTTTCCCCAGTGTTGTGGTTTACCCCCAGCCAGTAACTAAGCACCACACAGCTGCTCACTCACTCCCTTCTCCTGCAGTGGGATGGGGGAGAGAATCAAAAGGGTAAAAGTGAGAAAACTCATGGGTTGAGATAAAGTCAGTTTAATAGGGAAAGCAAAAGCTGCGCATGCAAGAAAAGCAAAACAGGGAATTCATTCACCACTTCCAATTGGCAGGCAGGTGTTCAGCCATCTCCAGGAAAGCAGGGCTCCATCACGCGTGTCGGCCACTTGGGAAGACAAATGTCCCCCCCTTCCTCCTCCTACCCCCAGCTGTATATGCTGAGCATGACGTGCTGTGGTCTGGAATACCCCTTTGGTCAGTCGGGGTCGGCTGTCCCAGCTGTGTCCCCTCCCAACTTCTTGTGCAGCCCCAGCCTGCTCGCTGGTGGGGCGGTGTGAGAAGCAGAAAAGGCCTTGGCTCTGTGCAAGCACTGCTCAGCAGTCACTAAAACATCCCTGGGTTATCAACGCTGTTTCCAGCACAAATCCAAAACACAGCCCCATACCAGCTGCTATGAAGAAAATTTCCCCCAGCCAAAATCAGCACACCCAGGAAGATGATCTCTGAGGGAATGTGACCTGATACTAGGTGTTACAGTTCCAGAAGATGCAAAGTGGCACTGCTGCTGGAGTGCTCAAGACAAATGTCTCTGCTTCATCATACCTGCTGTTAATTGACTGCATGTTAGAGTCTTTAGACAATGGATGGAGTCCCCTCCCATGGGCAGATTGTTCCACCCTTTCTTTTTGCTGGTTGTAGAGAGGACTTAAGCAACCAGCTTACACTTGTAAGCTGAAGCTGTGCTGCAGAGGGTAGAGTGATTTTGCTTTTGCCAGAGTCATCAGAGTTGCACTCTTAGTGGTCTGTACAGCATGTTAGAGATGTGCAAGTTGCTTCAGGTGTTTCATATAAAATCTTAAATGAAAAGACAGCAGCTTGATGAAGACAAAAACCAGCCAGCAAACTTGCTGAGAATAGGTACATCTGTGGATGAAAGTGCATGTGTTTTGAATGCTAGTAATCTGTTGGACTTGTAAATAGTGGTTTTTATTTAACAAACCTTTTAAACAGTAAGTATATTCGTGCTGTTGCTCTGAGACTGCTTTTACTCAATGTACAGAAAACATCAATAATTGCAATACTTTGGATTTGTGCTTCATGGGTGCAAATAGTATGGGAATGTGGTGGTCAGGTAGGCAGTGAGAACGAGTGTTTCTGTAGACAAATGAGTAGGTGCTGTTGTGTTTTGTTGGTATAAGTTCTTTTCATTCTTACTTGGTAAATGTTCTGGAACGTGATAACCACAGACTTGATATAACTAACATTTTCAGTAAGTATTCACCTTATTACTTAACATGCGTTAAAACTCCCAAATTCACTCAAAGAAAACTAATTAAAAGGATAAGTAAATTAGATAACATTTAAAAAAAAAAAATTTTTTTTTTTTCACTGAGAAAAATCTCTGCTAGGTAACACCACAGCAGCTTTAAAAATTGTTTCATTAACCTGTATCAAAATCATATAGGCTTCAAATACAGGCTTCTAAATAAATTGAACAATTGGCTAATACTAGTTTGTTTTGTTTTTCAGGCTTTAGAAAGGATGCGTCCTTACCTGTGTGATAAAATCATAGCTGAGAGACACTTTGATTACCTACGTTCAAAGAAAATACTCACTAGAGAGGACACAGAAGAAATTTCTTCTCGATCTTCCAGTAGGAAAAAAACTGGGAAATTATTGGACTACTTAGCAGAAAACCCAAAGGGACTAGATGCTTTGATTGAATCTATCAGACGAGAAAGAACACAAAACTTCCTGTTACAAAAGATAACTGATGTAGTGTTGAAAGTCAAAAATGAAAAACTTGAAGCTCTCAAAGGTGAGGAGTTTGTAATAATATTTTGTAAGACATAAGTTTTATTTTGAAGGTCTGCAAAAGTAAACTCCAGCAATTCTTTAAACCATGTTTCTTAGTGCAGTTTGGGGGTTTTTGTTTCCTCTAGTGTTTGAGACAACATTCTTGGCAATATCACCAGTTTGGTTTTAAGATCCTTGTGCGTCCATCCCGGCTTTGCCTTTTTACTATCTGAACACATCATAAATAACAAATTGCAAAAAACCCTATCATGTGTTGTTATGATGTATAAGTTTCAGTTTTGCTTTCTATAAGGTTCTAATTTAGAACTTAAAATACATGTTTATCTTCCACCTTGCATTTCTCTTGAAGCTATTTACTGCAGTGGCAGGATGCTCTGGTTTTGTTAAAATTTGCACCTCAGCAGAAGATAAGCCAGCAAATGCAACCTGAGGGGAATTCTTCTGTATGCTTTCAATGCCAAAACTTAAAATTAGACACTGTAAATGTATGTATGTGTTGCATCATACAGGTAGAGAGGTTTCGTTGACATGCAAAGCTTGAAGTGACTATATGTACTCAAATTTTAAGGCAGATAAAGAAAGTATAAGCCTTTTAAACCAAAAGCCTTACTTCCTCTTCAACACCCATCAAAAGAGAAATAAAGAAGGAAGAAAGTACATTTTTAACCCTAGAGAGGAAAGGCCTGAAGTTTTCTCTGGCTTCAGGTAAAACAGCCTTCAAATGCAGTCTGCTTTGGAGTAGAACCGTGTAGCTGAAGCTTTTAAAAGTTTGAAGAACACAGTGAGAAAAATCTGTCAAAAGATGGGTCAAAGGGCTAAAGTGACTTCCTAAAATGGAACTTAAATTACAGTGCATCTTTGTCAAATAGTAGCTGATACAGAGATATAGCGAAATCATTCACATCGGCCTAGGTAACCTGCATGTATTTTTTTAATTTGTCATGAATATTGGGATGTCAGAGGTGAGATGAAGAAGTTAGTCTGTTAAAAATACAGTTGATCTTTGACAATCTTACTGATATTAAATTGGAGCTCAGTTTTAAGAGTGCATCATATTGTAATTAAATCCAGTCTCTGTTTTTTGTCTTAGGTCTAAGCTGCAGCACCTGTATGACCTCACTGTATGGAGGAACAAACAATCTTTCTAGATCATATTCTGATGAATCCAATTTTTTTGATAAAACAAAAGACAAAGAATCTACCCAGATACATCATCCAGAAGAAGATTACAGCACTGCCGCATTTGTGTCTGCTGTCTCTCTTCATTCAATGAATTTGCCAATTGCGGAGATGGGAAATGCAGAGAGTGCTGTTTTCTCAGCCTCCCTTCCAGGGCCTGGAGACCCCGGTGCACCCCCCCTCCCCCCAGAGCTCCAGTCAGAGCAGCAAGAACCGTGTACTAGTTCAAGTGACAATTGCTTTTTGCCTTTAAGATCACGTTCTCTTCAACCACAGTGAACGTAGTGACTTTTGTCTTTTCATCCAAACGGTACTGAAACTTTGTGTGATGTCTTATAAAGGTTAAAAAATGTTTTCAAATTGTGAACTAGCAAAATCAGAGGAAACAATCTATGCTATTTACAGTTTTTTAAGGAGTAAGTTTTTTTGTAATTGGGTGACTCTGGAGCTGCTTGATTTTATGTTCTTTAGGGAGCTTTTTTCCAAAGATCATGGTATTACATCAGCAAAGGTTTGTTTTTTAAACCAATATATTTAAGATTTCACATTTATTTGTAGATATTGAAGCTGCCATTATAGAACAAATGGGGTTTTTCTTCCTACAGAAACTAACAGATCTGTTTTTCTTAATGTTTCTGTGACAGGTGAATTGGGAAAGATGGCTAGGAAAAGTATTGGAAAATAACTTTCTGGACTAAAAGCTTAGGCTTACTTACCAAAAAGCTTAAACTCCTTTACCGAATTAAATGTTTCCCTGTAGGATAATTTCTGCCCTCTATGTACGTGTGTGCGGCTCCATTTGCAAAAAAACCCAAGCAACCCAACCCCAAATCTGTAGCTGTGCTTATTTGCAAGAAGTCTCTTAATTGTATGAACTTTGTTCTCTGTCCTACCCGTAAATCAAAAGGCACTCGGTATCGCAGTGATTTGAGTTAGCAACTATACTTCCACAAGTCTTAGCATATTATTCTTGTATATTAGAGATTTCTGATTTGAGATGCACTTTAAATATAAATTCTCATTAATACTGGAAAAGGAATGTAAACTGCTGTAACAGCATCATGTGGGCTGTAAGAAAATGTTATTGTATAATGCTATTAAGGAGCAAAGCTTGTATGTTTTGTCCCAGTAGGTAAGTAGAGGAGGAGTCCTATAGGAAGAAAGTATCCATACCTGAAGGACTCTTGGAAATGTTGCACTTCAGATACCTACTCTTCAAAGCAGATAGACAGGTTTACATTTCAAATTGTTTGGAGTCAAATGCATTTTAAACTATTTCGACATGGGAAGGTTCTCATTGCTTGACACAATGTAATATGCTGTATTCCTCTCGTACTCTATTCTTGAGTTGTAATTTACTTTTTATGAAGTTGGCCTATGATCACTTTAAAATTAGTAGGCAAAGACAAACTCTTACCTGGAAACGTGTACAGTTGTGTTCTGCAGTACTACATCACTTTAAAGTGATGGGATGTTTTCAGTATATCAAAGGGTAGGTTTGTATTTAAGGCTTTAAATTATTTTGGCTCTCATACAGTGCTATAGCCATGTAATTCCATTCAAATTCAAAGCCAGGTAATATTCCTAAACTGTGTTCTCCTTTTGTGGAGACAGACCATCTGCAGGACCTCAATATAGTATCTAATTTTTTTTTTATGTTTACTCTGGTTTTGGAAGTAGGTTAAAATAAACTGCAATGTACAACTACACTCCATATATAGTATATGAATAGCTTACATTTGACAAAGATGTGGGCTTCCGTTTACTGTTCATAATAATCCTTGTTTTTCTTGTATATGTGTAAGGTCATAGGCTGTCAGGACGGTGAAAATGCTTTTCAATAAAACTGCTTGGTTCAGAAGGCACTCTGGAAGTTAAGTGCCTAAATCTGCAAGCAAAATTTTGCTTTCTAACATGAAATTAAGGGTAGGCTTAAATCCCTCTCTTCCATTAACTGGAACTGTAGTTGCACATACTCAGGATGTCTAAAAATTGATGTGTCTAAATACCCACTGCAACCACTTAAAAGAGCTGTGCTTAGGTTTGGGTCCCTTCTTGGAGTCTTGTAGCTGGATGAGAGTGAGCAGGCTTGGCCTTAACTGAAAAAGAGCATCAGCTCAGGGTGAAGACTGCCTTGCAGATCTAAATCTGAACCTGGGACGCATGCTGCCTGCTGCAGCACGCGGCGCAGCCTGCAGGAAGCCTGCCTGTGCAGGGATCACTCCTGCAGTGGAGCCTGTGAACCCAAGGCTTTAGATGAATGTACTGTCTTACCAAATGTTTATAACATGCATTTTTTTAAAAAATTTGAAATATTTTTATCACAACTTTTGGAATAAATTAATTTGTATAATTGCCTGTTTTCCTGTCTGCCTCTCTCATTTTTAACATGTATAGGTTGTAAGAGAAGTTCATGCCAGTATCTGGATGTGTAGTTTTGGTTTTGTGTATGTGGGAGGCTTTTGTTCTCATTGTCTTGTTAGAGAGGTTTGTCCCTGGTGGAAAGGCTGACTTAATGTGAAACACCTGAGCCTGTAGCACTGCATTCAAGAGCAGTGTACAGGGAAAACATGGCTGTGAAATTAAGACCTTGGCTGCTTAACTACACCTTTGGTGGTTCATGACTGGTATTGCTAACCTGATCCTTGCTTTTTTTCAAATGACTCAATTGCTCGACTTCTTAAAGATGTGAGAAGTGTTGCTTCCAGCCATGCATGTATTGACTTAATTTAAGAATGAAGATTTTTATTTTTTTAATAGAGGGGGAGAAACAAAACCTTTAAGGGCTGAGGGGTATGACTCAAAAAAGAATTTGCAAGTGTTGCAAGGACCATGGAGGTTTGCTTCAGTGGTTGTTTTCATCGTGCTTTGTGTGTAGGGTTTCTTTCAAAATAACGATTATGGTATTGATTACAAGAGATTAGCTGGACATGGTTAAGTATCTTTACAGTAAAGGAATTGATCGTATTATAACCAAAGCCCCTTCCTTAGGCCTTGTCCTGCCTCTGTGGTCATATAAGTAACCTGAGCAGCACTACTAAGTATTTTAGCTGATGCAGATAAGAAGAGTCTGGTACAAACTTTTTCCAACGGATTTGACAAATCTGCGTTGGTGAAGATAGCCTACGTGGCTGCTTAAGCTATAACTGGATAGGCGACGTCCGAAGCTTTATCTGCCCTGGGTTAGCCAGCGCTCGAACACTAAGGAAACCGTGCTTTCTCTCTACTTAGGCCTGCAGCTGTAAAAAAGAAAAGGAGAAACGGAGGTCGTCTCAGTTTCACGTCTGGTTTTCTGTACCTGTCTGTGTCACCGAGAGGGAGAAGTTACTGGGGGCGAGCCCACCAGCGTACCCCAGGGCGGCGGCGGGAAGGCCGGCTTCCCCCCCCTCCTCCCGCCGGATCCCCTTCGCCTCGTACCAACTGGCCCCCGACCCACGCCGCAACAGCCGCGGGCTT